TGTTAAGTGTACATTTACATCTGTCACCACCACAGTAAGAAGACAGGAAATGGTACTTTTTATGAGGGATTCAGATAATGGGTCCGTAAAGCATTTAAAGGATTAGCCCCACCGCAAAGTTAATGAGGAAGGCCCCCTAGATGGGCTCACTGCATTTTCACGGCGTTTTCACTTGACCTCAAGGTGTCGGCAAGGGGTCACAGTACATCCGGGATTATTTTCACGGTGTTTTCACCATGTGAACTGCCATGAAGTTGCATTGAAAAATACAATTTCACAGTGAAACTGCAAATTAACTGCAAATTCATGGTGCTGAAATTCATAGCGTCCCTACTCTAGACTAGTACAGTCACTCTTGACATGCTTGAATATAAACTAGACTGGCCTACCATTTAGCAGTGAAGTCGACAACAACCAATTTCTTTCCTGCATTAGTAAGCTCAGCCTCCAGTTGATCGTTGTGCACTACTTTGAAATTGCTCGGCATTGGTTTCGCATTACTCGCCATGGCTGGATTTCTTCAACAATTTGAATAATTTAAGTCGATACCGGTAGTGGTTGGCGTACGCGTAGACCTACACTCAAAAGTGTGACAAATCATGAGACGTCGACGTGACAGTGCAACAAATACCCAAAATTGATCAGAAGCAAAAAGGAAACCAGACCAGACCAGACCAATCTGTTCAATAGCGCCCTCACTTTAAAAAGCAGCTCCGCCGATAGAGGAGGGTAGTCAAACGAAATAAAAAGAATTCTGGAGAAATTTAGAGAAAATGACACTGACCTTTGAACCTGTGTAAATTTTCAATGGACAGGCAACACGTTTGTACGTTTATACTAGTGCGTTTATACTAGTACGTTTATACTAGTACGTTTATACTAGTACTAGTGCACATTTATACTAGTGCTGCAGTTGAGTCCGTCGTAAATCCTCATTTACAGGGGCTCATACAAGTCGACCGTTTGCCAACTCGACTCCAGCGGGCATTAGGTGCGTTGAGACAACTCGACCCACAGTCTTGGCCTCAAATCGATCACCCAATAGACATCTCAACTCTTCACACAACTCGACCGCAGGCGCGGTTCTGGAGCCATTTTTTTTGGGGGGGGGCAGACCCTTCGCACGTGACGTCACCTTATAACTTCCCTGCTCTTTGACCATGGACTATTCATTTAATTTTTAAAATATGTAGATTTGTGAACCCAATATTTTCCAGCTTTTTTTTTTTCATTTTGCGTTTTGTAAGCCACCCCTCGTAGAACCACGCCCGTTCAACCGTCAGACAACTTGATTGTCTTTGCCGCATATCGACAAACAAGCTCGACCGTTGGACACGGAGTCGTCGATTGAGAGAAGTCACTTCGCCCACACCTTTTTATCTCAATTAAAACGAAAAAAAGGAAATCCCTGATTGGGAGACAGAACGATTTATCCTCTCCCACACCGTGCAGCGCCTGTGTGCAGCGGGTGGTGCTGCCTCGAACCACGCTGGCCGGAGTGGCCGACACACGGCCCACCAGTCTGTGTGTGCGTCACCAGACCCTGCGCACGGCACACGCGGCAAGTCGAGACGCAAGTTAACGCAACACACGCAAAATCTGCCCAAACACATCAATCTATGATCTGTTAACCGCCACACACTTTGTCATGTTCACGCTTTGCACGGTCGACTTGTCTTAACGGTCGAGCTGTCCCACCTGTCGAGCGGCAGGACAACTTCAATCGTCTGTCAACGGTCAAGTTGAGTTGGTAAACGATCGAATTGTCCGACATCAGGACTTGTCCCTTAAGAAGTCCTTCCGCAAGACCAGTCATAAGTAGTAGGGCGAACAATAAAAAAAAAATGCTTGAGCAAATGCACGTATTTAGGACTCGTAAAATTTAAAATTAAGGCATCATGCATGAGAAATGAATATTTGAATTAATGCTATTGCTTCCAACCCAGGGAAGTATCCCTTTACTCAGCATTCTGTTGTCATGCGCAGTTGTGTTACGCACGTATTTGAGTGATTTTAAATAGATCACCCCAATAATTAAACCTCTGGAATGACGAAGGACGGAATCGGTGCGTGGCACAGAATTGTGGCCTGCAGCTCTTTAAGGTACGGTGGCGATGGGCGTCGTGGGGAGGGGAGAATGCGCCCCCCAAATATATTGATTAATAAAAATGGGGAAAGTGAGAAATTTAAGAAAAGAGAAGAAAGTGATGTAAATCACTAGTCTGCTTAGAAAATCTCAAAATTCATCCCTCCTGCAGTACATTTAAAAAATTTCTTTTCCCTGACGAATGTTTTGCCCCCCGGAAAGAATCCCCCTGGATAAAAAAAGTGGTTCCCTCCCTGGAACAAACCTGGGGACGTCTGTAAGAGTAGCATATCCAGCCAGAACAGGGGTAATTTATTTGCATTCAAAATGCATAGATTTTAGGAACGAGGCTTCCACCTTTCTTTTAGGGAGCTGGAGGTGAGGATTCATTTGCAAATGAAAAGCAAAAGACTATTGCTTTTGAAAAAAAAAACAACTCCCCCATTTTTTTACCCCTGGACTCAAATGCTGCATTATAGTACACCGCTGGGATGGGGCTGTAGTAGCGACGAGGTTGAAAGCATCAGAAGTGCCATATCCTGCTGCGCTACCTTCACCCCCGAGGTCCCCGTAATAGGCTAATCAGGGTTTCTGATCGCATAACATTATGGCCAGCTGAGAGTAAAGTGGGCTATTCGACCCCGTCCGGGATAAACGTGACGTCGCAAGGCGCACAAAATCGATCACACATACACACAAAACTATCTCAAAGGATCTCGGAAAAAGAGAGGGTTTCTCAGCTAAAATAAAGGGGCAATGCTGCGTCGGTCAGCTTCCTACTTGCATTAGCGAAATGCTGCTCTCTTCTTGTCCTTCTTTAGACTTGTTGTAGAGAAAGGGATCGCACGTTAGGCAATTGGGGACCGGTGATTTTTTTCAAGGGCACTTGGCATGGACACCCCTCTCATCTGGTTTGACCATCTAAACAGTGGTCTGACTGCCCAGGATAGCACACGCAAAAGGGAGCGCACTCAACTAGTCTTCAATCGTTTTGGCCATGATTTGGGCATGATTCTGGCCAGGCAGCGGCAGGCGAGCAGACTAGACGGCAAATCGGCGCAGACAAAACGACTTATCATACTCTCTCAAGTGCTTCCTCACTCGTTATTGTTTAAGGTATGGCCAATTTGAAACTTTAATCTTACAAATAAATGTTATCGAGATTTACAGATTATGACATAGGGTGTGGTCTCTATATTCAAGTGAATTAGGGCCTCCTCTTTTTTTGTTTACTTTTGTTTTTGTTTATTTCAGTTTCAACAGCTGTGAGATGGTCTGAAAGGTTAAACCAATGTTACCCCGCCATTGCCCGTATTTTCTCAAAATTTCAGCCAGAATCTAATTCTAAGTATTGCAAAAAATCTGTATTATATGTACAGCTTAAAGGGTCTATGCAATGCAGTTTTTCATACTAATCTTGAAGATGTATCTCTGCATGATTAAATTCGTTTTCATCTTTTGCCAGCTATTTTAGATGGTACCTGAATTTTGGTGCCGTTTTGGTTTTATGCAAATGGAGATTTCTATATTTGGCAAAACTGTGATATCATCCTGGAAAGAGAACACCAACGCTATGTTTATTTTAGCCCCCAAAACACGGGAGTTTGCCACATTTTTCTTGCCTACGTTTTACTCTTATTCCGATGATTCATTGTTGTGTAAGTGCATGGCATGAAATTAATGATCACCCCTTTCTTAGGAATGTTTTAAATGAGCAAATTTCGGTTTCATAAATGTGATTAAAAACCCATAAAATGAGCAGTGTCTTCTCTGGCTAAAACCTCACAGCAAAAGTGCCCTCTGTTTCATACAAAGAAGAGGCTAGGAGTACTAAGTTGCAGCTGTTAGTGAGAACAATTCATTGTCATAGATACCTTTAATACTGCCCGTTGTGGAAACTATTCGGGGGGGGCGGATAACGGAACTTTCCTCGCTTTGCAACAATGAGGCCCGGGTTCGAGTCCTGGCTTGGCCCAGGCTTTAAGTGCATTTGATTTCCAGTCCATACTCGCTTTTGTAGGTTTTCTCCGGGTACTCCGGTTTCCTCCCGCCTCTAAAACTGGACCTTCTTCGTAACTCCGTAACGTGATGCTGATTTAATAAGGGTTGTGAATAAACCGTATAGTTATTTGCGTAAATAGCCTGAATAGCTGAAAGCGCCATTAAACAAAAAACAACAACGAATCTCATTTCTTCTGCCCCTTAATTTTAGAGATTTATATGTCAATGTAACCTGTTTAGTTCTCTTCGGCATTTCCACTGCAACTCACATTGCGACTGAAGTTTTGAACTTGAATGAAGCTTTATGAACGAAAGCCGCTCAAATGTGCAATGTTAGGCACTCTATCCTCGCCTGGATCGAAAATACAAAAGGCTGAATTGCTAATACCGTTCACGTGTTCAACAAAGACAGGCTAGATTCCACCCTCCGCAATATATCACAGACTGACAGGGACCAAAGTCTAACGAAATATTGTGTCAAGATGAAGAGTGCTGTCACACCTTGTAAAAATCTTGCCAGTTTGACAAAATTTTTGTGTGTCTATTCAGTTTGAGTGTGAAATTTCTACTTCGAAGGACGATTTATACGGTCAAGTATCTGTGGCTTTCCCAGTCAGGCACCCGAGGGATTCATGCCGATGGAAATTTTTCGGCACTAAAGCCGCAGGGGCTTTCATTTTGCAATGCTGCATGCTCTTAAGGCTCGGACCGTTTACAACCGGGCACGTTGTCTTAACCTTGTAACCGATCTTTCTCCTTGTATGTCTCACGGATTGCCTTCGCGAGCTACTGCTGCCGTCGGTCACACGTTAAATGTTTGTTAGTCTCGACTTCGAGGTTGTCAAGAGTACGCACAAGGTTGTCTGATGCATACATCATTCCTTTCTGGGGCACTCAAGCGGATGTCAAAAATAACAAAACAGTGTTTTCCTCCACTATGGCCCACATTATGGTGTCTCGAAGGAACACCACACATTTCAAATATGTTTGCAAATAATTGCGAAAGCATTTCCGATGTCGTACATTATCGCAAATTTACAAAGATCTTTGTGATATGTGATTTTTCTTCATTAATTCAGGGCGCGGCCACCATACCCAGACCTCTCGCCTTTTCGATGTAATGGGTAATTTTCAAGGCATCCATGTGACCAAATTAATTCATTATTAAGAAGCTTAAAATAAAAGCCTTTTCCAAGGACTTGCTTAGGCCTACATGTAGGCCTACATAGGTATTCTAAAGAATTTCCACTTCCTTGTAAGTTGTATTTTTTTCATTTTCTTGTCAACATTGTCCACTCAGAAAGTGTTGATATTCTTGTTTTAACTCACTCTCGTTATCACTTTCGTTCTGTAAAGTAAGTTTTTGATGACTTACACCCGTTTCAGACAGGCGTTCTAGAGTCATGCTGAACCGAATTAAAAGCACATTTTGAATTGAGTACGGCAAAAGTTCGACGTCTGAAATATTTAGGAGCGACCAGGCGTGCTAGCAGGCGAAAGATCGACACTTTGAGGCGCTCGGAATGACATTCGCTGAACTTGGTTTCAGACATCGCTTTTCTCGTTTGCTGAACCCAATTCATATGTAAGTATTAAGTTCGTCTGGAACCAAAATTTAATTGGGTCGACCGGAGTCGCTCTTAATTCTATTTGGTTCGGAGCGACCCCAGAACGCCTGCCTGAAACGGGGGTAAATATCTTCATAGTGCATGACCTGTCAAATACACTGCATGGAACAGTTGGTATCCGATCGAGTTTGCTGTGTGAGCCCTTTACATTTGCTCTACTGAAACTGTCATTGTCTTGGTTACGTTTTATTTTCTTTTGTTATAATGTCAACTCTCCATCATCAATGTTTTCATATTTTATCACTGGCAATTAGTTTGATTGATGGCGAGAATTTGAAGAGGACAAAAGAGCGATTGCGGCATCACATGCTTTTGCTCCACTGTGGATGTAGTGCAAGCCTTCTCGCCACCCTTAAAAACACTTGTTAGGCCCACTGCAATCCATCGATATCTGTCTTTTTGCAGGCAAAATGCAATGCAGACGAAAGCGGCTGATGGCTGTACTGATGGGTTTCTTTGTGATCAATTTCACAATTATGGCTACCATAAAGCTGAACATGGCGACTACAGAGACGATTCCTGACTCCCAAAACAGACAGAGTGGTTTGAAAAGATCGATGAGTCTCGTAAATTCTCGCTCCGAACGTGGTTTAAAAGATGATACTAGAGTCCATGCAACCACTACATCCTCAGACGAATATGAGCACAGAGTCTGCGCACAAAGGTTTGAATGGAATGTTTCAGAGAGGGGGCAAAAGTCCAGCTCCTTGACGATTGTACCGCAGATTGAACCGTGCTGCTTTGCAAGACAGGGCTCCATATTCTTGCTCATTCTGGTGACGTCATCACCCCGCCAGTTCAAGATACGCAATGCGATCCGCGAGACCTGGGCAAGCGTGTCACGAGTGGCTGGCGTCAGCGTTAGACGGGTCTTGACGCGGTTCCTCCTAGGCCGGGCGGACCCGATCCTGGAGCGTACCCAGTCATGGATCGAGGCCGAGAACGAACAGCACGGCGACATCCTGCAAGGAGACTTCGATGATGTCTACCGGAACCTGACGCTCAAGACGATCGCAGGAATAGAGTGGGCCGGCCGGCAATGTCCGGCTGCCGCTTACGTCATGAAGACGGACAGCGACGTGTTTGTGAACGTGGACGGCATCGTGCGGTACTTGTCCAACTCGTCCGAGCAGCAACATGTGACCCCGTTCGCCGTGGGTGATGTTGCAAAGGGCGCCAAACCAATACGCAACGACGTCTTGAAATGGTACACGTCCGAGAGTGAGTACCCTCAGCTCACCTACCCGCCTTTCATGAAAGGCCCTGGATACATCGTGTCCAGCGAAGTTGTCCGTTTGTTGATCGAGAGCTTTCCGAGGACTCCCTTGTTTGTTTGGGAGGACGTATACGTCGGGATGTGCCTGAAAAAGTTGGGCATCGCTCCGACGGCCGACAAACGGTTTGAGACCTACGCGGTGGACGTGGTAAACGGTTGCAGTATTTCCCGGCGATTCCTGATTCACGGTGTCAAGTACTACAAAATGAGAAGCTTATGGAGGATGCATACAGAAGCTATAAAATCAAATAGATGCGAAACCAAGAATACCTGATCGTCGTCTTAAAAACAGATCTGCCGCCATAAAGCACGTAGGCCTACGCACGAAGGGGGGGGGTGCAATTGCATACACCATGCGTACAGAGGGGAGGGGCCGGGTTCAAGCCAGTGCGCACCGTACGCTAACTGAAACTTTATATGTAGAATGAACCCGTAGACAATGAAAACGGTAACTTTCTGTGTCTAATGTCTACGTCAAATTAATGTAATTAAATGAAATAAGTTACTGTTGTTTTTACGGTTAATTACTGCTCAATAAATGGCGGTGATTTACCGTAAAACAAACTACTGTAAATCATTAGCAGTGTACTCATGGCGCCTGTGCTGCGAGTACATACTGTGATATTTACAGGAAAACAATTTAGAGTGTACAGTAGATGTACAGTGTACTGTGACATTTAATGACGCTAAAGCATGGCACCCTGAGACGTCAAAAGATACTTGGAATGCGTATGCGTACAGGGGAGGGGGGTCTGAAAAGTCGGCATTTTGTGCGTACGTACTTTATGGACGGCCCCAAATGGGCCCGAGCGAAGTCTAGAGAGGGCGCAATTTTCTTAGCAACGGAGGCTTATATGGGTACAGTCCACCAATTTTAGCTCCATTGAAAACAGTGTAAAATCAGCATTGTTCAGGGTTCAATAAACATGCATACCAACATGCCTGGGATGTGGGGTTTTTTTGGGGGGGGGTAACCAATAAGCCACTTGTGAGTTAAATTTGAATAAAATCTGATATACTGTGTTACGTGATTGCATAGAACGTAACAATCTGAATTCCCCAGACTAAAGACACTGGATGTGTTAAGTAACAATAGTCTGGAATGTGTATAGGGATTGGATGTGTTGGGGGGGGGTACCCCTCGGTCTCATTTCTTACTGGGTATACACGAGGTATAGCAGCAGTTGTTTTAGTGTGGAGAATTCAAGTTGTTATGTTGACGTGAATTTAAAGAACTCATTGTACCGGATTTCATTCATATAGTAACTCGCATACGGCCTATTAAATCTCTAAAAGTGATTTTTCCGAAGTCTGCATGCAGCCAATTTTCAAGTGGCGACCCTCCACTTTCCTGGACACTAAGGACCATGTTTCAATCGTATTTTTAGCCATTCGGCTCTCAGATGGAAGCCCAAAGAACTAGGGACTTGATCCTGGCAAAGATTTACACAATCTCACCATTTTGCGGGCCTAACAATCTCCCTTTTCTAAAGAAACTGTAATGAGTTGGCCAGAAAATCTCACTTGAATTAGTGGACTGAACCCCTATGGAACTGCATTCACGAACGACTATGAAATACATGTGTTGCTGTCGCATCGTTACCAACAAAAAATTAACACTACCCACCAAATGGCTCTTTTCAACCAATGACGGAATGCTCCTGCTCAAGGCGGATTAGGCTAAATGCAGTGTTGAAACAGGACTCTTATATAAGAGGGCTGCCGCCCCTTTTAATGTTCCTAAATAAACGCCATGCAAGTTGTCAATTTTGTGAACCTTTACAGCTGGACGAATCCCTGACCCAATACTTCAGCTATACCGTTTGGACAGAACCACATTTTGCCTTGAGTTTGGTGCTGCATTCCACGTTGCCTGCGTCATAAAGACCTCCCAACCAGAAAAACAGCCAAATGTCTTGATCCCTTGACCACCCAAATCTATATCCAGGGTTGTTTGGTCCATGAACTTTGAAACTAATATCCCCAGGCGAGATAACGAGATTTGATGACTTTTTAACCTCTATATAAATGCAGTAGATAAATGGACATACGTTTTGGGTAAAGGATCCGAATCATTTTTCAGTCAGTCGAAATAGAAGATAGATAGTTAGTACATAACTTAAGGACTGTCCAAAGTTATGAATTGATGTCAAAAATTCAGAACGAGAACTTTAATTTAGCAGCTACCGTATATGATTATTTTGTGCGCGACCCTTATGTCGAAAAGGGAATTATCTCGCAGTATAAATACCGATGACTCGTAGTTAATCACCAAATTACCTTTCTTTGTCATAGTACTGGAGAAGGGAGGCTACCCATAAGAATTCAGCAAATAATGTTTTGTTTGAAGCAGACCTCTCACGGAATTTGCAAAAAATTATCACTCCCTTCAACTTGACTATCCAGCCGGCATTGCAAAGGTTAATTCGGAAAAATTCTATGGGTCAGCATTTCCTGCGTCCGTGATCGAATATCCCCCTATAATGCTAGCATCATGAGCAATTACGCAGGCGAAAATTTGCCCAGCACAGAATCACCTGCCCCTGCCGTCTCTTGGAGCCTATTCAACTCGGCGGAATAGCCGCGTAAGGGCGTGAGGGCATGGGCAAAGGCCTGCCATCGCCCCGCTGTGCCTGGCCGCGTCCGTTGGCCGAATCCTTGTTCTGGGTCTCCTCCCGCGGAAACAAAACTAAAGATAGCTTGGAGAATGAAAATGAACAATCTGGCTAGTCGGTCACCAAACATCCCAGAGGACGAAAGCAACGGGTGAAATCTGTATCAACCCTAGGTTGTGAAGAGAGTTGTGTCACAGAATCACAAGGCGTCAACTTAATGTGTACAAATGTGTGCATTTTATATGTATCGTGAACTACGGTTTCATAAAATATCCCTGCTGTTTGGCATGTTTATGCAGGTGACGCAGGAACGTTTTGCTGATTGAATCTCTCGCCACCTCTTTTACTGGCCTGCTCAGATGTAGCATTGGAGATTTTTCTTCTGTCTTGTTTTGCGATTGCTCATGCTCGATGATAGTTGGTAGCATAAACCGAAAGAATCGTTTCACACGTTACTAAACCAGTTGAACCTTTATTCTAAGCATATTGGGGAAAGCCTTTGAGTTTGGTTCAAGAGAAGAGATGTGCTTAGCGGAAGTGACTACAAATTATTCCAAGGGATTAGACATGGAGCGTCCCAATCGTTAATGCCTTTTTTGAAATTGGCCAGTGACTTCCTTCAATAACTGACAGCAGTTCATTGTCCAGAGACCAAAACGGCCAGGTCATCCACATGCAATTTACCAATCAAAACAGCAGGTCGTCACCGCCAATTAAGGCTCAACTCTTGATAAATTGCCTCCTTGCTGACTGCTGAGATAATTTTTTTGACAAGAAATCGATTTTTCCTTCGTAGAGGCTAATCGAATTGGCATCGGCCGATGGGTTGGGGGGCTGACAAGTGATGAATCGGAATCGATTACCCGTGAGACAAAGCACGTGGCTCATAAGCACTTTTTTACATTATCTAAACACAAATTAACTTAAAAAAAATTCGTTGAATGTTTAACGTTAAGCAAAAGCAGACCTTTTATTGAAGCCTGACATGCAGAGTTTAAAATGTGGTAATTATTTGATTTTATTAGGCTTAACAACTTGGTATTTCATAATTTGGTTTTATATAGAGACGTTGCTCGTGATTGTACTTGTGGACATCATTACAATGCCATCCTGTTCCGCTTAAAATTCTCTTCACTCTATGTTCCGTCTGAATTCCAGATCAACCGCTGGCTGCGCTGGAGCTCACCCGTAAACAGGCAAACACAAATCACATAATTAAATTCGGGATGTTTTTTTATTGTAAAAATCTACTCTATCCTTGTTACATTCCCCTTCACGTGGCGATCGGGATCCAGAATCCACGTGCCTGGAACATGCCGTGCGTCATATTGCAAACGAGATTTGTGTCTCATAAATAAACTGCAGCTATGAAGCTCACAACCTTACGCGGCATCGACCCCCATGCCCTGGCTACCAACCTACCATTAATGATTATTGACGTCTTCGTGTTAGTATGGCAGATTGGGTCATTTAGCACCGAAGATAAATTACCCTCCATCCGATATTCGAGGAGGAAGAGCCGCATCACTCCATGATCACAGAGACTGCTCGAGATACGGTCATACTCTCCATTTGCTACTGCTGATCGGTCGGTCTAAGGGTCATGTAAGGTTTTTTTTTTGCGTTATCGTTATTCGCCTTACTCATCTGCCCTATTGCCATCGTTGAATTGACAGTGAGGCAATACCTTTATTTAGAAACAGTTATAAGCAGGAATAATATGGAATATTATGGGTCACGTGCTTATTCTCTGATCACTATAATAGTTTTAGCTTACGCCTCAAAAGTCACGTTTTGTGTGGGCTCAAATGAAAGAGTTTGGCAACCATGACAAACTTTGTAACCAGTATAAAATAGTCTGGTACATCGAACGTTGCACATTGGGAAGCACACTCCAAAATCTGTTCAATTAGGCCCATGGCACCGGCAGACATTTGCAATGTGCAGCAGCCTATATGAAATGTCGCAGCACCCGTGATTTCTCTTGACGGTCGCCATTTTCCATAATCCAAATTTGTCTCCGATACGTTGTCATTTGTGGGGCTCCTTAACCACTTTCCAACGTTCTACTGATGGGATGAACTGAACACCCCGCAAGCTTTTGTGTCAGAACTTTTCTGTCTTGGCAACGTGGGGTGGCCTGTCTTAGTCTTGATGCAAGACGCTACTGCTTGTACATGCATGGACCTCATCGCCAATGAGTAACGAACAATAACTCACCATAGGCTTGTCCTCACCATAAGCTCGTCGTTGAATGGATTTGGGGGGATGGGTAGTGGCTTATCCAGTTCTTGGGTCTGATGGGTCCCGAGGGAGGGCGAAATGGGCGACTTTTTTTCGACAGGAGACTGTCCAATTGCATCAGTAAAGGAATCTTGACCCTTCTCCCATTGGGTAGTGTTATCTCGAGAATATCGGCGTTTTAATTCCCTTTTCAAAGGGGGCAACTTTCTCCCTGTCTCCGCCTTAGTCGCTGGGTATGCCGGAATATTTCGTGCGAATCTTAAAGTTCTAGCATCTGACATTTATGTCTATCTAAATAAAAGAAAGGGTCAGTTAGAAGCAAACAGGGAGGTGAGTGATTATACTTCGATTGGCTGTATACTGGGTTAAAGGCAACGATGGATGTACGCCAGGTCCATCAACTTCACTGTTATTTCCACTCTACGAACTGCAGTAGCAGTGTGCCTGGTTTCTCGTCTAATTTCTTTTCATTTTTTGTTTTGTTTTTAGCTTTTTCCTCATTATGGCCCCTTTTGTCATTGTGAAAGTTTATTCTGTACAATTTTCCTAAAGAAATGTCGAAACCTTGTAATGTATAAGAATTGAAACATCCAGTTTTGAGTTGTTTGCTCAAGTCAATATCCAGAAATTTTTTTTCAGGAAAAAATAATTGTTGTCCACATTATACCGTAAAGAGTTTAATGTAGTTTTCTTTTTAATAAAATGGGGTCACAACTTCGTGAACTCCAAGGTAGGCCTGTATATAAATTATTTGTTTGAATTAAAACAATAATGTCAAATGTAAAGTTTTATTTCATATAATATTCTCATTAAAATATTGTCATAATCAAGTAGTGCAAAAGTATATTAAAACATCCATGGCAGGCCCAGCCGAAATTTCATTTGACATTTTTTTGAAATAAAAGAGAGAATGTCACGATTTTTGTTTTAATCATTAATGTTTTACGAGATTTTGAATTTACACTCTAGTTCGTATTTAACCGACCAATTGTAATTGGCTTCGTGTGCCATTTACGCGCCTCTGAGGGCAGAAGTTAGAAATGAGTTATCTCATTACCTGGACAATAGTTTGTATATACAATGAACCAGGTTGTGTCAGAAGTAATAAAAGCCTCTGCTATTTTCTTCGAATGCCTACTCAGAGCTATTTTGGTTGTATTCTCCGAGCGTAATTTACTGCCTGAAGCGCTTGCCCGTCAATGCGCTTAACCGTACAGTTGAGCCATATAATGGAGAGGAGAGAACGAAAATTTAAGGAAAATCGATGGCTTTATTTTATTGGTCTGTAATGAAATTACCTCTCGTTTCCTCCTCTCGGGCTGATGGACGGGGGAATTTCAGGCGCGAACGACGAAAAAACACCTGGCGCTGCCCCGGTATACGTTGATGACGGGGCGGGGGAATGAGCCGAGCGTACTTTCTACCGGGGCTCGGGCGCAGAGAGACCGGCGGGCATGACTCTGTCTGTGCGAGCTGGCTCGCCGCATGATGAGAGCAAGGGGCCTGGCCAGATTGCAGGCGCGACGTGATGCACGCATGCAAGCCCCATCACTGGTTTCCTCCCGGTCGATATGTACTTCTGGGAACTGGCTTTTTTTAAATTGAGGTCCATCCAGTCAGAAAACGCACTAAGCTGTCTAACGCAGTGCAGCAATCGTCCATTAGTCAACAACGGAGGACACCAATATAACCGATTTCTGATCGTAAAATGACGGAAAGGAATAATCATTCAAGGAAAACAGAAGCAGTGTAGTACTGTGTGTTCTGGAAATTACTGATTGTGAACAGATCAGAACACTCGTAGCCCCCAAAAATGCCAACTTTACAAGCAGGAACTTGAAGAATAATTATACAAATTCTGTAGAAAACTTGCGTTGGAGAATCTAAGTTGAAGAGGATTATCAGTGGTATAGAATGAAAACCATAATTTTCAATATCTACAATCCACTAAGGCAAAACAGGACATAGCTGATACAATATTATTTTATTCAATCGTGAATAGTTTAGGACTTCAGTATTTCTAATAGTGCACAGTACCAGGTTAGAAATTCTAAATGTTCCAGCAATGGAAAAGGACTTGACGATAATACAACGACGCTGAGATGCCTGCTAATGATAAACCGCAGATTCCCTTGGCAAACTCCTCCTAGAACCGGGCTGTGTTTAAGGTGCTCCTTTTCACAGCATTAGCGAAAAAGTACAGTCCATACATGAACCTGTTATTTCTTGTATGGGGGGTCTAGATGGTCCATGCATTTATCACGGCCAAAGCACTTCCGGCGAATCAGACACGGACGACATAACTCCTCGTTTTTTGCCCTCCCGTACTTTCTACACACAAGCGCAATGACAATGAAAACAAGCTCCGCAACCGAAAAACGCCATTAAGCCCTCGCCCCAAAGACACCTGCCGTGCCTATTAAGTATGCAGATGAGCGCACGTGGCCGGATGCACTTTGCGCCAATGAGGGCGGGCGGCGAACTGTCAATCACTGATGGGAACGCCACTCACATAACATTGCACCGGTCATGCTGCGCTTAAACTGAAATTCAGCAAATATAGAGGTACATACGGAGCCGGTCACCCTGGCGTATATGCATAAATTATAATAAGAGATGAAGATAACTGTGAAACTTGGAGGCGGGGCAGAGGGACGAGTGAACAAATTACACGCGGCTATTACAAATTGTCCAACACATTTTCGCTCATGTACCCAGTGTTTAGCGTAGGAGAACCGCTGAGCCCAATGGTAGACAGCTTCTTAGTATACGGTAGCGGTTTAGCGATTACTGATCTTCACGATATCTCAGCGCCCGACCGAACTCCAAGATGGAGGGGTCGTCCGTGAGCGATACGCCGGGGAAGGCCCCACCGTCTCCCGTCCACCTGAGCCCATCGTCCCCGCTCCTTCTCGGAACGAGTCTCACGGTGGGCTCGGAGCCCCGGTTATCAGCTTTTAAGTCCCTCCTACCCCCCGGATGTGAGAGCCCGGTGAAGCGGGAACAGTTTGGCCTGAACCACCGGAGTTCGCTGGACAGTGCCGTGGAAGTACCGTCGATACACAGCCACTCCGGCAGCAGCTTTCACGTCTACTCCAAACTGATTGACTCGGCCAAGGCGGCCGCTGTGGCCTCCGGTGCGGCAGCGGCGGCAGCTAGCTTGAGATACGGTGACCTGACGGGAATTCCCAGCATGAATTGCAGCAGATCGTCTAATGTTTCGTTCGGAGCTTCCAACAGCATGTGTAAGTATATGCTACGTTGGTGGCATTACTGAGCTCCTAGGCTGAATTAGAATAAACCTTCAGGATTGCGATATCAAAATACGAACTCGTAGAGTGAGCCAATCATGACCAGATATACGAATTATGGAAGGAGTAATCTTTATACCAAGGTTGGAATTACAAAATTACTAAAATGAAAAACAGTGAAAGTATATGTACACAAAAATCCACAAGACAGATGTGCATAAATACCGATCGAGAGGGCGTCAATAGACAACGCACGGGTTAAACAGATGTAATTACTTAAGATTAAAAACTCACCATAAATGGAAGACACAAATTCTTAAATTAATTAATAACGGAGAGATACTTTGTGATCGTCGGCGAACATGCCACCTAATTTATCTCTTTTTTCCCAAAATGCTAAGGACTCTAAGTTGGACACAAATATATTTTTTAATGACTTTTTGGGTGAGTTCTTATTTTTGGTCCCTCACTAAGGGTATCCAGAGAAGGCAGCAAGTCATTGTTTGGAAGTCCAAGTCAAGTCAGAAGTCATTATATGCAAGTCCAAGTCAATTCATTAGGTCCAGTCACAAGTCATTTGGTCACAGGGCAAGTCAAGTCAAGTCACAAGTCATTTGGGCTAAACATCAGTCAAGTCACAAGTCTCTTTGTCCAAGTACAAGTCAAGCTGCACATTATCTTGTCCAGCTGTAATAAGCAAAAAGAACCAGGCTTCAACTTACGAAGTTACAATGAGTTGTGGACAGCTGAACACTTTTTCTCCAACTATTTTGACAATGCCTCCATATAATTCCCCTTTTTCACATGTGTTGTAATTACTATTCTTGCAGTTTATCACATACCTGTCGTATATTGGACCTCTGTTTAATTTAATAAATGTACTTTGCAGGGTGGAAATAAGCGTTGAGACGAAATGATGACATATTAAGGGCACTGTTTATCCTAGTCACGCGTGAACGCAACGCAACGTAGCAGCGTGATATGCATGGTGCCCTGATCTACAGCAGCAACTGGGCGAAGTAGAAGCTGACACGCAAGCCGAAGTCCGTTTTTTTTATGCACGGGAGGCGTAAACTGAATGATAGCTAAATTAAAAATATATGGGGCCGGTCGAGTAGCGTCTGACTTGGGTTGGTAGCAAGTCATTTTTTTGCAAGTCCAAGTCAAGTCACGAGTCATTTTTTGCAAGTCCAAGTCAAGTCACAAGTCAAAGCCGGTATTTACAAGTCAAGTCAAAAGTCACAAAAATAGCGACTCGAGTCCCAGTCACATGACTCGAGTCAGCAACTCTGAGGGTTGGACAATGCAGATTTTGTAGAGTCTTTATAAGTGGACGACGAGGAAGATACAACAACGTCAACCTGACCATGCCGAGATCGAGAATCTGAAAATGATTCGATGGTGCTTTCGAAAATAGCTCAGAAGTGAAATGTTTAGCGCAATTGTATTTTCCCTCATCTTTGAAGATCGTCGTGCATATAGCGAACGGTATTTTGCAATTGCGCGGGAATTTTAGTTAAAAAATAGACAACGCATATTGAACACGTCACTCGAAAGTTGGAATTTAAAATTAATGATACCTTAGTTTTAAATTCTCGATAACAAAAGCTTTCCATGCATAATGGCATTACCGAGTTTTGCGCTTTTAGAACCGCAGTACCGGTAAGACATTAAAGCCAAAGTTCTATGGAAAAGACCTCAAACAAAGCTTCACATAGAAATCACCTTTCTTACCATATACATTTACAAATATTTGATTGTAATGAAACTGCAATTTGAAAGATGGATTTTCAAGCAATCAAAAATATGGCCTAAGTAAGATACGGGAATCGGTCTCCTTCCCTTTGAAATCTTACTTTAATGGTCATTCTGTAAAACGATGACCGATGACTTTGAGCTGCACATCTTGATGTAAACAAAAACGAGCAAATGCTGCATTTCAGATGCGAACTGTACTCCAGCCAGATTTGTCTCGAAGAAAGTCCCCCTAATCCTGTGACTTTTCCTTGCGACCTCTCGGTAGTCACTCGCAGGAGGCGGAAGGAGACGCGACAGCGGCGACAGCGCACCACCTTCACCAGCGATCAGACGCTCAAGCTAGAGATGGAGTACCACCGCACCGAGTACATCACGCGGATGAGGCGGGTGGAGCTCGCGGAGCTGCTCAGCTTGACCGAGACGCAGATCAAGATATGGTTCCAGAACCGCCGGGCTAAGGACAAGCGGATCGAGAAAGCCCAGCTCGACCAGCAGTACAGGTGAGATTGGAGGATGTGAGTTTAGGTAAACTGCACAAAATGCGAAGCTCACTCATAAAGACACTTGCATCTTGGACCAAGCCAGGAGCAGGTTGTATTGACAGAGTCCACGAGACGGTTTCCTCGTGTTTTGCTCATGACTTTTATTTTATACGTGAAAACAACACCAATGATGCCTATACATTGGTGTCGCACGGGGTAAGCAGCGCTTGCCCCTGGGAAAGAGGGGGTGAGAACAAAAGAACAGAGAAAAGAAAATGGAGGAAAGGAAATTAAAAAGCTACCAATTTGAAAATGCTTTTTAATTGATCCCCTTTCAATCGTAGGTGGTTTTCGGATTGCTATATTGGCGATGTCCATGTGTAAAGTGGATTTCGGTTTATTTTGTAGCTCATAATAACAACAGACTAAGCAGAAATGAGCACGTCTGTCCATTTTTGATACTTCCAGTGACATTTCAGCGTCAACCGCTCCAAAGTCAGGCATGCATTCTCTACAGGGGCGTATATAGCAGGTGATCGAAATAACCAAACACTCCTACCTCACTTTACACAAAATGTACGGACAGACGTATCTGACAAAAATCAATAAAGAAAGGTGTGACGAACGTATTAGTCAGGGACACGGGTGTTAGGAGTATATGCACTTGATTTGTTTAGTGCTAATTTAGAAATGCTAATCTTATTATGAAAGATCGATGTTGTATATGACGATGTAATGAGATCATTACTGCTAAAAGGATGTCATGAATGATTACGAGATTTGTGACACAAGGATCGATTGTTGATGATTGGGATTGATGCACTTTCAACTCGACAGATTCACGGCATTGTACCAAAATTTGTGCTGGATTATTCATTGAAACTAAAGTAAAGCTCTGACGGTGTTATTTTGGGAAGGGGGTTGAAAATACCCTTAAATATAGAGTGGCAAGATGAGGTAATTTCCAAGCAACTCCCGTTTAAAGTACTGAAATATAGGGAGTCTTATGTTTCTCTATACGTGCTTGAAATGTTACAAATTAACCACGATACTTTCTTGCGTAGCTTGCGTATGTGGACTGTTTGGCATACCCGAGTTTTAGTCGGGGGGGGAGCAAAGTACGGAATTTTTGGGGTCTGAAACAACGGCCTAAATTTTCTCCTTCCCAGAGAGACGGTATTACCATTTCTTAAAATGATGACGCTTTCACCTTCTATATGAAAAAGAAATTGGCACCACTTCCTTGTGGTAATTTGTCCACCCGCACCTTACCCCTAACCTCTACTGGATGTGCAACGGTCTTTGTTTTAATCCAACCAAATAAAGGTCTTGAAGTCCAACACAACGTTTCATGATCAAAATGCCGTCTTATTTTTGGGGAACCAACAGGAGCATGGGACTTCCTACACCTGGCTGTACTTATGCTGCCACATATCCAGGGTTCTGCGGAGCCTGCTACTACAGTCCTACAACGTCCAGTATGAATCCCACTGCTGCCACCATTGGAAGGCCATACCACCAGCTAAGTCTTTGAAGACGTCACAATTACCTTCATTCCTGGTCTTTCTTTAGGTAAACAATCTAGTCTTTCCTGTAAAAGAGTGTACGTACAAGTTACGATGACTTTATCATTAATTTTTCACCTCTTTTGAGACATCTCCTCAACACAAAATCTTAGATTTGTATCCCATATGTGTATCAAGAACCCGTAGGGGAAAAAATTCTTGTGTCATTGACCAACTACTCAATTTTATCCAAAAATATATACATTTAATGAGTCTGTCAAGTTTTCTTGTTGGAGAGAAATTTTGGTCCGCTTCATTCTCAGCATAATTGCTGCAGACTTTGAGAATTGGCAGTCACAAACTGTTTCGGTCATTTAGATTAATCCACATGACAATGACCTTTGAGAAAAAAATACCTTCATCTTCAGTTTCGCCATTTGATTTAATTTTGTACATTCAGAAGAAATACGTGGCATTGTTAAAGGGAATTTGTTTAAAATTATTTTGTAGCTCTACTAGTTTTTTTTTACTTCAAAAAATTGTGTTTTGAACTCATGCAAGAACTAACAACAGGAATTCCCGTTTGTTGCTACAGCTATCATTTATTATAATGATCGTTATCCAACTCAACCTTTATCCCAAATCGATTTGATCAAACTTTGCGCCATACATTTCTTCAAGCAAACTACGTCTGGGTAATTTCAATCAGAAACGCTAAAAGTAGATATAAGACATGGAAATCTAACCGATGTACATATACAAGGCGATAGTGGTATCTAATTATTTTAAATAATGGAATGCTCTTTCTAAATGACATTTGTTGTAGTTGATTAGGGTTATCGATGCAATAAATTATGAATTGTACATATATAACTATATGCATTTGTGTGATGTGCTATCCCGGTGTCCAATGACTAATCGGAGTGATTTAAATCGGTTTTCAAACATGTGTTAGGTGTAACCATTATTTTAAAATCATTTTCCCCCGTTTTGTTTTAAAAAAAAGAACCCTTTTTCCAAAAATCTTTTATTTTTATCCACTTGTTCGGGATACGATGGAGTTGGGGATAAGTCTTTCAATTTTTCTAAAACAACAAAATTGGAGCAATATAGTGGTATCGCTGACTCAACCGATCACATTCATATACGCAGGAAATCAAAGTCCCTATGAGGTAGGGATACGGATGAAAAGCCCGTTTATATAATGTTTGATAATACCGTCTATCTTACTGAAAAGCTTACATGCCATGCAGAATGAAATCCGTCCCTCAGCATAATACGGACTTCATGCTCCGCACAATGATGGGACAGGGATTGGACGGCCATCCTTGAAGGCAAAGAAGACGCCGGATTGTAAAGGAGTCATAATTTCATTAGGACACCGGTAATCAGAATCTCAGGCAATCCATTTAGGAGTCTCAATAGGAGATTAATTATAGGCCAATTAAAAATGTCCAATCTCTGCCCTTTTTCACGGCGTTGAATCGTGGAGGATTCTGCCCATTCATCATCTCTTCCTTTGGCATTTCGTTGCTCTCGCAAGCAGCTCTACGTCGCATAGATCCGTCGCAAACTACTGACTGCGATTTCTGCATGACTCACCGAGGTCTGGTGATGGATATCAGCACCTTCTAAAAGTGACAAAACATACGTGTAATGGCCACAACTATATGGTCATAGATTTTCATCACTGATGAAATGCAATAGTCAACCAGAAGGGGGGGGGGTTGCGGAGAAAAAAAAGCTGCGAGTGGGTGATTTGCGTTCCCAACATCTCGTCCATGTCGCGCCGTCCCTCTCCTTATAATCAATGCACTGTACGGGTAAACAATTTGGCTTGGGATGTGCAAAATATGCGCGCTGGGGAAAAAAAGCACGGGACGGGAGTCGAACGGACCGGGCTTGCACCTGTTCCGGAAGCCAGGCACTGATGAGAAATCTCCCCTCTGCTGCAAGCGCTGGCACGGCAACGAGCCTTAATTCCAACCCATCATGAAAGAATAATTGCCGGCGGCTAAGAGAATGGATATTTGGCTTCGATAAATCCTGACTCTTGAAGAAGAAAACGCGGATCTGGTGCAAGAGAACCGTAGGCCATCGGACTCTCTCTCGTTTTTTTTCCCTCTCTTTGAAGTGGGTTATTCTTCAATCACGTTGCTGTACCAGTGCAATGTTCTGCTGCGTGCAAACTCCTTAAACCCGACTAATATTACCAAGGCTCGGTCTGAACACGCTAAAGGGGAAACCTTCCATCGAAGTCTAATGCATTTTACCAAACAAAATGCGTAAACCCAAATCAACTGGATTTATTTTCTACCTACTCACGTTGAGGGACGACGTTTTTCTTCATATCGCCGTCGATTCGCGTAATTTGTTACAAATTTACCAAGCATTAATCTTATGACTTATGCATGTCACACACTACAGCCTGAGTAAAATAAACCGTCTTGAAATATAGATTTTTGGGGCTTTAACGTATAAAGCATTTTTCTTTCAAATTCACATTTCGTCATATATAGTCGATAGGAATCGATTTTATGCACTTTCAGTGTCGATTTTGTCTTTTGTCACGTAATTTCATGTGTAGGTCAAATGAATTCAAACCTTGAACACAGCGAGGGATCCTTCGATTTCGTCTCGTCTACGCCGAATCGTCTCATTCAGAAAATAAATTTGTCTATTGCCATACAATTGGATGACAGTGTCGCGCTTGTTCAGTTTCGTCCAACTTTAGTGCGACATGCGGAGAAGGTTACATGTAACTATTTCTTTTCTTTCCTTGTAATCGGTAAATATCTTGGTTGTTTCCTTCGAATTAATTTTCTCCCAATCATACAAAAGCCATTCAAGGCCCCCAAAAAGTTACAAGGAGGAAAATTTAACTTTAATACTTTTCCTTCTTGTTCACTCTTTTTAGTTATTTCGAACCCAAGTGAATTTTATGTCGGGGGGGGGTCTTGTTCATGATTTCGCTGTTGTTAATAATCTGCTGCGCTGAATTGAAAGTGACTGCTGCAAGACAAATTTGATCTCTGAAGGCCGCAGTCACCAACGACACCTTGGAAGAATTTTATTTGCAATGGCAAAATTTCTCGACCGATTAAATAAATTGGTTTCTCCAGTGTAGCACATGAATTTCGTCTTGGACGAATCTGAAAACTGAAACTGTTGCATTGGAATGAAAAATGTTTTGAAATAGCTGGAAAAACCTACAGTTTTTAAATACGTCACACCTCCGCGGGTAAACGTGCATTTTCCAAAGCCCCTTTATGAACTTTCCTAGCTGTCGTCATCTAAGGAATGTAAGGCAACTGCAAAAGACGCTTCCCTCAGATGATTTCGACTTATTAAAATTATTAATTAAGTTATAGACTTGCTATCCAGAGAAACAAAGACTGAAAATAAGGGCCCGAATTTTAAACATATCATTTGTAAAAAAAAAGTCAGACAGGCCTTGAGTCGGATGAAAACATGTCTTTCGCATAGCGTTTTTTGTTTCCAATAGGATGTCAGCCTGCTTGTTTCATTACAACACACACATATAGTCCATTAATTCAAGCCCATTGAATCGGCATTGTTCGGGGCCCAATAACATGCATATCAACATCTCTGAGGTTTCTGAAACACAAATGAAATTATTGTCTCTGTCCCTAATCTTTCAATTTCTTTTCAATTTTCTGTGGGTTAACCAATTACGCTTTGGTTCCACAAAACGAAATCACCTCCCGAAAAGTGATTTTTCCGAAGTCTGCATGCAGTCATTTTTTTCAAATGGCAACCCTCAACTTTCTCGGACATGTTTTACCCGTATCTTTTGCCATTCTTCGCTCAGATAAAAGCTCAAAGACCCAGAGAGTTGATTCTTGCAAAGATTTACACAATCTCGCCATTTTGGGGGTCAGACAATCTCTTTTTTCAAAGATACTATGGGGGCACTTTTAATGCTCATGAGCCGGCCAGAAATTCTCGCTTGAATTAGTAGACTGCACCGTAACGGAATGCAATACAGGTGTACAAGCAAATATCGCAAAACGATGTAGTTGTTAGTAACCTGTTGTTCTTCATCATGCCAAAAGTGCATGAAGGCTCTACACGCCGAGTCTTTACATGGTAAACTTCTTTGATTCTCAAATGCAATTATTTTGTGGTGAAACACAGATTATGGATAGGCCTACACCCCTCTCCCAAATCATTGAGTTCAGATGAGGTTACCCTGGTGAACAGGTTTTTCTCATTGTAGGTCGTGTGAAGGTCAAAGTAAGGAGTTTTTATATTTTGGGTACAAACAAGCAGACAATTAAGGTCGATAAGACATAGTCTATGCTGTTAAGATGTTCCGCTAACCACAGACTCGAACGGAATCGCACGTAGTCATACATCGTTTATTACACACATGCAAACTGATCATTTCTGGCTAAGCATTAGTTCGTCTGAAATGCAGCCATCTAGTATCTCGCGAAATTGAGGTCACTGTCCACTGACTTAGGAGGCATGCCACTTCATTCTGTCGCCTTCCCAAACAATAAAAACTTACAGATAAAAAAAAAACCAACAAAAACACCCCCGCACAAAAATCCACATATGAGCTACAGACTCAGTTTATAAACAAGCTGCATCTTGCAATGACATACCTCAGATCTATTTTTACCAACCAGTAATAAACTTTCAAAGACGACAGTGGTATGAACAGTGGTATAATACGCAGAACTTTCACAGATTTCCGAAACACCATATTCAAAGCTTTATTACCGTTGGTGACTGATAACTTTTCACCTGTCACCTCATGAAATTATTCTTTACCATTGTGTTTATAAACATTAATTATTTGTATACTATCTCACAGCAGGGGTAGGGACAGACACCCCAATGAATTCAGTTGTCACCTACCCGATCATGTAAAGACATGCACGTGACGCTCATTAATGTGAAGTTTCAGTTCAATATGACATAGGCCTACATATGGAGTTTGATGTTATGGCCTCATTGACCCACGTGCAGTTAGAAATGTCAAAATAACCACATGCTGTTGCCGAAAATATCCTTAAGACTCAACGCGCAAAACAAATGCACTGAGATGATATTATTAGAGAAAATGTCGAGAGTGGATGGATTCTTTCAGGATGAAGGAGATTACGCCCTCAACCATTTAGGGGGGACCGAAAGCAAATGAACTGCAGCTTGTTCAAGTTCATTTCAAAATTCAAAATTGAAAGGGGGGGGGTAAGTGCCCCATACATCAACGAAAAGATTTCCTAAGGGCCGGAGAGCATCCCAGATTACAAATTTCTCGAGGCATGTCTCCGGATCGTTTACAGCAGCAGGACACCTTAACTCCAGTGATTTAATCCCGCCAAGCCGAAATGCCAATATGAGGGGATTTGTCACCCTAAATTTGCCCTGTTTACTTGCTAAAGCCGAGTTCCCTTTACCGTTCGCTGGATGGGTGGCAAAATGCAGCTTCGCCCGGATATTCTGATGACCGCCCCCTCGTGACTGGACCGGTGGAGTTGAAGCTATAGAGGGCGGTATTTCACGGGTAGTCCTAGAGCTTTGTACAAAAAATAAGGGTGCACTCCTGTAAGTAAATTCTCATAGACACCAGTAATTAATCCCTATACTCCAAAATTATTTAAAATTACTCAGAACACTCACAGGTGTCCAGGCTGAACAGAGAAACGATGTTCGACATATCCTCTTTCATTTTCCTTTCGAATTTTAGTGGGTTGACCCAGGAATTTTTGAGAAATTCTCACATTTAGCAGACCACCCCTAAAATGAAGGAATTTCCGTCCCTGGAAAAGTGGCCATGGTGAGAATGCATCCCT